TTTGAGACGGAGTTTCACTCATGTTACCCAGGCTGGAGTGCAATGGCGCGATCTCGGCTCACCGCAACCTCTGCCTCCTGGGTTCAGGCAATTCTCCTGCCTCAGCCTCCTGAGTAGCTGGGATTACAGGCACGCGCCACCATGCCCAGCTAATGTTTTGTATTTTTAGTAGAGACGGGGTTTCACCATGTTGACCAGGATGGTCTCGATCTCTTGACCTCGTGATCCACCCGCCTCGGCCTCCCAAAGTGCTGGGATTACAGGCTTGAGCCACCGCGCCCGGCCTGGAAAATTATTAATGTAGCAGTTCTGGTCACGTACTTTGAAGTACTTTATCTTCTAGGGAAATCTGAAACTCTTTTAAGTAGCTCACTCTGGGACTCAGCTGTCTGTGCTTTGCTCTTCTCTGATAGAGCAGTTTACCAGATGTGCATGTGACCATCTGAGTGGAACAGCTGTGCAGTTGAGATGAATTGCTGATAGAGCTGTTGTCCTGGAACTGTCTGGTTGCAGGAGCAGTGGTGCCTTCCAGTGGGTCTGATGAGATTCGAACTGAATGTTTGAATATCTGTTATCAAAGCTAGATTTCAGTAGAAACCGCAGGGAAATCTGTCTGCTCATTTAGAATGTTTGAGGCTTCTATTTGAAGCTGCATTTCTCTTTGAGCAGATGTTCCATTATTGCCAAATTATAAGTTTGAAGATTTCAACAGTGTTGCCCTAAAAGCTAATTTTATTTCAGTACAGTAACATTCAAGTTCTGTTGGGCTGTGTTCCCTTTGGTTTAGCAATGAGATTTTTTTTTTTCTCCTCATCACAGCTTTGGAAACATGATGAGCAAGGAGAAGCGAGAGGCTGTCAGTAAAGAGGACCTTGCCAGAGCGACTTTGATCACCATCACCAACAACATTGGCTCAATAGCAAGAATGTGTGCCCTTAATGAAGTAAGGGGACATGGATTTCTTTAAGTTGCTCTAAGGAAAATACTGAACTTAAGTGGGCCCCATCATGACACATCATATGTCTGTCTTCTTAGAACACTGCCTAAATGTAGTCATTTGGGGTGGGGTTTGTTTTAGCACAAAGTTAAAACTCTTCAAATACAGATTAATCTTCATTTTTTTTAAACTGAAGATAAACATTGCTACTTGTCTAGAGGTAAGATGACATCTTTTGAGGAGAAAGTAGAGGAAGAGTGGAAGGTAGCCAGTGTTCCAGATATTGGGGACTGTTGGGGGTGATGATGGATGATGATGCTGAATGTAGGCTCCACACTCACCGCTGAGCTCTAGAGGCCCTAGGGAGGAATCCAGAGGAAGTCACTGAAGCTGGGAGAAGACTGAGCAGGCCGAGGAGTGCCCTCCTTGGCTCCCCCACCTCAGCAGAGCTGCGTCTTTGTGCTTTCAGCTTCTTTACAGTGCTGCCTTGTAGCATTCAGGTCAAGCAGCATTGTACAGGGCTATGAAAGAACCAAGAATGGGCTGCCCTTGGGGAAAGAGGATCTAGGATCTAGTTGGTGCAGCTTATGGCTTGTCCCTATGTGTACAGTTCTTAAATTATTCTTTTTATTTTTAAAAAATTATTCTTTAAATAGAATATAGGCATGTGGCTTAAAAGGAAACCTTAAAAGGTACAAAAGGATTTGTCTCTTTTTAAATTAAAAAAAAAAAAAAAAAAGAAACTGTATCAGCATCAAATAATTAAACATTTCTTTGTTTGAATATCATAATTTCTTTTTTCTTTATTGTATGTTTCCTGTGCTTATGTATTTTCAGAAATTTTAGTTGGTGTGCATACCACAATTTGTATTTTATACTTAAATATTGTACATTTTATGGGTATATGTATGATCAAATTCTTTTATATCATAATTCACATAGAGCTGGGCATTTGCTTGTTTGCTGATAACTTGGCAGTAAGCATTTTTAAGCATGAAGTTATTCTTCGGTTGAATTTTATTCTTGATACGGGGCTTACTTAGGAATGGGATTTCTGGTCTACAGAAATGACCATGCTCGTGAATTTGGTGTGTATCGCCATGATGCCTTGCACAAGGGCTGCACCAGTTTAGATCATCTTTAGCAGTGAATGAGTGGATTCATTTTGCTACAGCTTTACTGATGGTGGTGGTAGAATTTCAGTTGCTTTTTTTTGGCTAGCTTAATAGGTCTAAAATTTTACTTTCTTTGATAATTAGTGGTTTGAATTTTCCCCTGCCTGTTATATTGTTTGTATACTTTGCCTGTTTGTGTCACTGTCATTTTGAATTGGGGTCATACTGTTTTTTCCTTTTTTTAAACTTACCTATATAAAACATTGTATTCAAAACTAGTTATTATTGGTCACAGTTTATGTAAATGTTTTTCCTAATCTGTTTTCTTCTTCTGTGACATTGTCTAGCATGCTTTGCAGTGGGTCCAGAGTTGTCTGGGGATCAGGTTTAAGTAGCCCTGGACCAACTGGACTCAATTTGATCAGCAGTCAAATTGTTGCTAAGAGCTATGCACATGGTGCTCTATTTGGGATAGCTTTTATGAGAAGATAGAATTTAAGATGACAACTAACTGCCTTTTTTTGGTGTGCTCAGAACATTAACCAGGTGGTATTTGTTGGAAATTTCTTGAGAATTAATACGATCGCCATGCGGCTCTTGGCATATGCTTTGGATTATTGGTCCAAGGGGCAGTTGAAAGCGCTTTTTTCGGAACACGAGGTAAGCTGACTTGTTCCTTGTGGTATGTTACATACATAAAGGGCATGTGGGGCACAGTGGAGTGGGACTTGAGGTAGAGGTGAAATGGGCTGCGGTGTTTCTTTTGTTTTTTGTTTTTTTTGAGATGGAGTCTTGCTCTGTCACCCAGGCTGGAGTGCAGTGGCACGATCTTAGAGCTCACTGCAGCCTCTGCCTTCTGGGTTCAAGCAATCCTCCCACCTCAGTCTCTTAAGTAGCTGGGATTACAAGTGTGCACCACCATACCCGGCTAATTTTTGTATTTTTAGTAGAGACGGGGTTTCACCATGTTGGCCAAGCTGGTCTCAAACTCCTGACCTCAAGTGATCTGCCCGCCTCGGCCTCCCAAAGTTCTGAGATTACAGGTATGAGCCACTGTGCCCAACCTGTTTTGGTAGTTTTAACTTTGTAATGTTTAAAAGCTATTTCTTCCTTGATACTAATGCAAAGTAGATTTTGGATTAATTATAAGTTTAAGGAATTTTATAGAAAAACTCTTGATGAACATACATTTCTGATGCCATATTTTTGTCTGAACTATCCTTTATATTTTTTCTATTGCACTGAGTATAAGTGCCATTACTCCGGGTTCTGCTTTTTTCAGTATCAGTTTTTATGTATTGTTGTAATTCATATGCCATTTATTTAAGATGCATGTTCTAAAAATAGAACGGTAAAATGAATAGAACGGTAAACCTTTCAGACTAGAAACTATCATAACAACTTAAGTACAATTGTAGACAGGCTGGAGATGACAAAATGGAAAATAATCAAGTTGTTCAACCTGATAGCCTGTCTTGGAAAGCACTCTTATTTTTCCTGTTTGGGGAAAAAGGCAGCCAGAGGTATGGAAGGCGGGGGTAGGGGTTCGTTCTTCCCTTCTTGGTTGTGGGGCAGTTGAACTATTATTTCAAGTGTTTTTGGATTTTAGATGCTGTTATTATGAACATTTTTCAGAATTGTATTGCATATTTAGTTTGTCTGTGAATTAAAGGAAATCAAAGTCCAGATAATAGCACAGATTTGAAGTGCTATAGAGATTATTTTTTCTTTTAAAGTTACTTTAAGTTTTTCTCTTTAAATTGCTTTAGTTCATAGTTGAAAGTCCAAAGTACACAAATTCCCATATCAAGAAGCTTAAAGCTGCAGTCAACTAACTTAGTTTTAAAATTCTAACATTACTGCATTTGTAACCAGCACTGAATTGCCATTAACTTTCTTATAGTTCAGTATTTCTGTATACATTGTTTTTGTGATCTCTGACATTTTATTTTGCTATTAGAATTTTTAAAACGCGTCATTTCTTTTTCTGCTTTATTTCTACCTCTTGCTTAACCTTTTCCTGGGAGTTAACCTTTAAAACAAACAAAAAACCAAATAGGACGCAGTGGCTTACACCTGTAATTTCAGCACTTCGGAAGGCTGAGGTGGGCAGATCACATGAAGTCAGGAGTTTGAGACCAGCCTGGCCAACCATGACCTACTTGGCAAAACCCAGTCTCTACTAAAAATACAAAAATTAGCCAGGCACAGTGGCGGGCGCCTGTAATCCCAGCTACTCAGGAGGCTGAGGCAGGAGAACCTCTTAAACCTGGGAGGCGGTGGTTGCAGTGAGCTGAGATGGCACCACTGTACTACAACAGCCTGGATGACAGAATGAGATTCTGTCTCAAAACGGAAAAACCAAACCGATATCGTCATAATAGTAATAAGCCCTTCGTGAAATCTGTGGTTGCATTTTGTCCTTTTTTCTCACCAACTTTGTTTTTTCTACTGGTTAGCTTAGTTGGTTGGTTTGTCCCTGTGTTTTCAATTTGCATTCAGGCCTTTGACTCTTGTGTTGATCTCTGCACTTGTGGAACTTTATTTTAGCCACTCTGAGTCTTGAAATACTCTCTTGCCCTCACTTGAAGTCACTGTTTTTTTGTTTTTGAGACAGAGTTTCACTCTTGTCGAGCAGGCTGGTATGCAATGGTGTGATCTCAGCTCACTGCAACCTCTGCCTCCTGGGTTCAAGCGATTCTTCTGCCTCAGCTTCCCGAGTAGCTGGGGTTACAGCATGTGCTACCACGCCCGGCTAATTTTGTATTTTTAGTAGAGACAGGGTTTCTCCATGTTGTTCAGGCTGGTCTCAAATTCCCAACCTTAGGTGATCTGCCCGCCTCAGCCTCCCAAGTGCTGGGATTACAGGCGTGAGCCGCCAGGCCTGGCCCCATTGAAGTCACTTTCAGTTTTGTTGTGAAAGTTTTGTATAGAGTCTCTCAAGCTTTTGTCTTTCATCCTTTATTCTCATCTTAGCATGTTGTGGTTTATAACTATACCTGTTTCTGTCTTGATAGCAGCATCCCGGTCTTCAGTGGAACTCTCTCTCTCTCTCCATATATATATATAATGCTCTCTATTTATAATGCTTAACTTTATCTTCTATATTTTTTATTATAGAATTAAAGGAAAAGAAAGCTATCTCAAACAAATTGCATAGTGTACTGTTAAGACAAACACCCTTGCATCCATATTCTAGCTGTGCCTTGTCCTGTAGCTGCTGCTCCCGCACATCACAGATTGGTGTGGCTGCCTTTATTTATTTTATTTTAGTTTTATCTTTACACACCAAAACCAAAGATGGTCAGTGTGCCTTTTTTTGTTTTTTTTTTGAAATGGGGACTCACTGACCCCCAGGCTGGAGTGCAGTGGTGCAGTCCTCTGGCTCCCGTGTTCAAGTGATCTTCTTGCCTAAGCCTCCTGAGTAGTTGGGACTACAGGCATGCACCACTGCACCCGGCTAATTTTTGTATTTTTAGTAGAGACACGGGGTTCGCCATATTGGCCTGGCTGACCTTGAACTCCAGACCTCAGTGATCCACCTGCCTCGGCTTCCCAAAATGCTGGGATTACAGGTGTGAGCCACTGCACCTGGCCAATACGCCTTTCTTCTAAATTGACAAATAGAGTGTAACAAGGCAGGCTTTGGCCTCTGTTGTTAGATCATCTGTTTCTTGAAGAAGCTTTTCTTGAAAGATAGAGTGGTATTTATGATGTTTCAGAGACTTGTAGTGTATTACTTAAAAAAAAAAATCTCATGCAAGTCTTTCAGGATCTTCTCTTATTTCTTTTTAGTTATTTCCTTTAAAAAGTAGTCTGATACCTTATCTTATGGGTTGGAGACCCTGATGGATTCTGCATCGTTTTAGGATTCACCTCTGATTCCTGCTAGCATTCTCTTTTCTGTCATTGTGGGGTTTGCCTCATTTTCTCTAAAATAATATCCCTGTGTTTGGTTGTGAGTTCTTGGTTGCAGGTGACCTGACTGCTTGCTTCTGGTGACAGTACAGTACTTGTCCTCTCTTAGCTGCTGCTTCTCTATCTTAGGAGGGCTGAGGGCTGCCCTCCCTCAGGGAGCCTCCGTCTTCCTCAGGCTTTGCTCTTTGGTCTGTGCCTATCTTCACGTTGCCTCTGGGTACTGTTGTTCATTCCTGTGCTGCCTACTTCTGGGCCAGTGATCCGTGTCTGGTGACCACCCAGGCACAGCTGCTTGGCTGCTGTGGGCACCTCAGCCTCCCCACATCCTGTAGGGAACTCACACACTGGCCTTGCTTTCAACATCTCTTACTCCTATGTCCCCATTCTCAGGGATGCTGCCTTTCCCTGCTGTCCTCGTCCCCTCTGTTAGGACTGAATCTTGAATCCATCCTACCTCTTACTCTCCCTCCCTCCCCAGCCCAGTCGGGGGGACATCCTCTGTGACCTGCTTCCCCACCTTCACCTGCTTCATTGCACTTCAGATCCCATCTTGTCCTCATTCCTTAGTTGTCTGGAAATGCTCCTGGCCTCTGCTGCTTCTCACCTCCTCATTCCCCAGAAACAGATTCTGTCTCTTACCAGAGGTGACTGAGCTGCTGCTAGCCTCATAGCTCCTATCGGCCCCACTGTGGGCTTGGTTTTGCTCTTATCACAGTGTTCTGAAGTGTCTGGAGAATCTAGGACATCCCTCCCCAAATGGGGGACTCCTCAGGGCGTTTCTGCTCCTAGGCTGGCCTTAGCCCTTCTGGGGTGCTTAGGAAACGGGTATGCTGTGTGAAAGGCAGCGTCGGTTTTAACACTAGTCATCACGTGTATGGTGATCTGGATAAGTCTAAGGAAAATTGCACTTATTTTTGGTGTATTTTCTTTCAGGGTTATTTTGGAGCTGTTGGAGCACTCCTTGAGCTGTTGAAGATCCCCTGATCGTTACCTGGGGAGGGGTTCCCGAAACCTTCCACAATGGGATCTGTGGACTTTCATTTTTTTTAAGAGACTTACTCAATTTCACGACTGTGTACTACCCGAATCAAAGTGAGAAAGGACGTGTATTTTTCTAAGTCATCAAGATAAATTCTTAAAAATTCAGTCTGAACTAGCAACCAGGAAGGAAAGATACATTAAAAACAACAACAAAGTGGCCCATGTCCAGGCAGTGTGAGGATTTGCTGTATATAAGTTGCCCTGCTGTGTATTTTTTGAAATCTCTGTATCACTCACTGGAGATGCTTCAGAAAGGGAGCTGCTTTGTGTTCAGTTGACTGTGGTTTTGTGTCTTTTTTGAACTTGCTGAATGAAAGGCAGGTCTACAATGTGTTAAAATCTAATCACAATTTGTCAATATGGTCTTGGCGATCATCTGTGCATTACTCTGGTTTGCATTAAGCCTGCGTGTGAACTTGCTGTAAGACATGTTTTATTTTAAGGTTCTGCAAACTTAATTGGGCAAGTTAATTGTGTACCTGAAACTTAACAAGCGGTTTTTGGAAGGGCAGTTCCACGTTACTTTACACTAAATGCTGGGACTGAATGTCTGGAAAGACAGGACTTTTCTTGGCAAAATTTCCTTGGGTAGTTGCGGGGGTGGGGGCGGTGCTGTTCTGATGAAAGTGGGTACGTTGGCAGAAGCAGCACAATCTGAAGGACTGACGAGTCAAAAGGGCCACCAGAATCGACACCTCAGGTAATCAGGGAGAACCAGTTTTTTCTTTCAGGCTGAGTAGAAGAGGAAGAAGGGAGGTGTCTGTCAATGAACTCGGGGATTGGGGGTCCTTCAGGGCACTGGCACTTGGGAATTGAGGCTCAGAGACTGCCTAAGGAGAGTGCCAGGCTGCATGTGCTCTTGGCAGGGGCTGAACCTTTTCTTTCTGCTGTGCAGAATAATTTCAAAAGCCTTTCCCAAGGAGAGAATGCACATTTCATATCTGAGGTCTTAAGTGATGCCCATGTCAGTGTTGAAAACAAGGACAGGCCTGTACAAAGCAGCCTTGGACCCGGAAGGAAAACCCCAAGGCTCTGCAGCCTCACTGCTCCCCTATTTAAGGCTGCGCTCAGTGAGGGATGGGCAGGGTGCCTGCTAGCCGCATGGGGGCAGCAGGGCACCTGCGCTGCATCTGGGGTGAGAACTCTGATGTGTGGGTAGGGTCAGCCAATCGCTGTTCCACTAGGCATGGCCACCTGTGCAGTTGCACCTTGGCACTCGTGAAATGTGGCGCTGCTGCACTGGGACCCTATGTGGGTACAGAGCAGGACGGCCACTGCATAGATGGTGATTTTATTCTCTGGACAGTGATTGGTGACCCTCCTTATATCCTTATCCCTGCTGCTGTGCTTTGCAGGCTCCTGGCCTATCACTACCACTGACGCCCTAATCCTGAATCCCTCTGCCCTCCTCTGCTCCTGGCAGCATTTTTGGTGGCCTCACTCTCCTCTAGTGTGTAGCCACCAAAGATGGTACCACCATTTTCCTGTTTGTACCACAGGATGCTGCTCCCTGGGCCAACTTCTGGGAACTTAGCCTCCCATGGAGGCCCAGGCCAGGGCCTGCCCTTCAGAGGCGCCTGTGTTGTGGTCCTCCTGTCTCTACTGTGCTGACTGCATTCAGGAGGTTGTCCACTGCTCGACGTGGGTCATCATGCAGCTCTTGCTGTTTCCACAATTTAACAGAGAAGGAAACTGAAGCCCAGATGAGTAAACCTGGCCAAGGCCACTCAGTTGGAAAAGAGCAGAGCTGAACTCAAACTCAAGACTGTCTGGCCCTGGTGCCTGAGTTGGGAAGGCACTGTCCACCTCCCCTTCTGCCTCGCTTTCAGCTTCCTTCTCCAGAGAAACCACTCCATTTCCTCATGTTCCACCTTGTGCTCAATACACACCGTCACTCCACTCCACAGCAGGATTTTCTTTATTTTTTGAGATGGAGTTTTGCTCTTGTTGCTTGGGCTGGAGTGCAGTGGCGCGATCTTCGCTCACCACAACCTTGGCCTCCTGGGTTCAAACAATTCTGCCTCAGTCTCCCGAGTAGCTGGCATTACAGGTATGTGCCACCATGCCTGGCTAATTTTATATTTTTAGTAGAGACAGGTTCTCCATGTTTGTCAGGCTAGTCTCGAACTCCCAACCTCAGGTGATCCATCTGCTTCAGCCTCCCAAAGTGCTGGGCTTAAAGGCATGAGCCACTGTGTCCTGGGTTTTTCTTTTTAAGGTGGAATTGTCACCCAGGCTGGAAGTGCAGTGGCATGATCTTGGCTTACTGCAACCTCTGCCTCCTGCATTCAATTCTGCCTCAGCTTCCTGAGAAGCTGGGATTACAGGTGCACGCCTCTATGCCCAGCTAATTTTTGTATTTTCAGTAAAGACGGGGTTTCACCACGTTGGCCAGGCTAGCCTCAAACTTCTGACCTCAGGTGATCTACCTGCCTTGGTCTCTCAAAGTGCTGGGATTACAGGCTGAGCCACTGCACCCGGCTCAGCAGGGTTCTTGATGTGCCACCATTGAATCCCATACCACTGAGTCTGGCGTTAATTTCACAGCCTCATCTCAGTTCTCACACAGCAGAGCCTGCCTGCCTGTCCTGCCTTCTGTGCCGGCTCATTCTCTGCTGAGTTAGCTGTGGCTGTCCTCACCCTCAGTCGTGGGTCTCCCCAAGCAGTCGTTAGCATCACCTTGACTGATTTCCAGGGAACACCTCAGCCAGGCCGTACCTCTCAGCTCCAGCTCCGAGACACTGCCTTGTCTGTATATTTGCTGGTCTCTATGCAGAAATGTCCACATCCTTGTCCCAGCTTACTGTGGTCTCACTACCTGCAGCTTGCAGGGTGCCTATAAACTTAGTGTCCTGACCATTGCCACTTACCTGTCCTCTCAGCAGCTGTCCCTTCTAGTCTGCCCTTCACTAGTGGCTGTAAAGGGGGCTGTGACCATGGTCCATGTGAGAAAGGCAGGCCTGAACTAAGAAGTGGACGGCCAGAATGGAGAGGAGATGCTTGGAGAGCTGTCTTGGGAATTGGTGACTGGATACAGGGGAGGGAGGGGAGATACCAAGGGCACTTGGGCTCATTTGTAGACTGCCTGATTTTGAGACTCCAAATAGGCTGGGTTGGAGATAGATACAGAGCTGAGAATGATGTGTATGGAGGTGGGCAAAGTGAGGGGATTTAATGAGTTCTAAGGTGGGGTGAGAAAGACAATGGAGAGGTGAGCAGTGACAGAAGAAACTGCAAAGAAAACAACTGCTCAGGGAGGGGCTGGCCAGGCGCCTATGGCTCAGGAGACTGAGGGAAGAGAAGCTCTCCAAGCACTTGAATTGAGGTTGCCCACATTTGGCTGAAAGATCGTGGCTGGCCTTGATGGAAGCTGGGAAGCCACAAGGCAGAAGCTGACTTGGAGAGGTCCTGGTGAGAGCGGCAGCAGCCAGTCTCAGGCAGGCTTTGGATAAAGAGTTTTTTTTTCCTCCTGACACTAGTTATTTCCAGGCCTGGGATATACTAGGGGGTTGGGGTGGGGGCAAATTAGGGTGGTGTGGCCTGTGGAGGAAACAGGCTTAGTTCTGCTTGCCGGGCTCAGTGGCTCATTCCTGTAATCTCAGCACTTTGGGAGGCCAAGGCGGGTGGATCATTTGAAGTCAGGAGTTCAAGACCAGCCTACCCAACATGGTGAAACCCTGTCTACTAAAAATACAAAAATTAGCCAGGCATGGTGACGGGTGCCTGTAATCCCAGGTACTCAGGAGGCTGAGGCAGAATTGCTTGAACCTGGGAGATGGAGGTTATTGCAGGGAGCTGAGATTGTGACACTGCACTCCAGCCTGGGTGACAGCAAGACTGTCAAAAACTCAGGTCACCCTGGTTGGAAGACTGCTTATCTGTGTCCAGCTTTTTGCAGAGCTCAGGGAGGCCAGGAGACCTTACCCTCCACTGTACTCTGCATTGGAGGGTTCTGTTCTTTCGGGCTGTGGTGGCCTGGCACTCTCTTCACCACTGACCCCAAACCCCTTGCACACCATGCCATAGGCGGGGACAGGAGATTCCATCACAGTCACCCAGTGCTAGTTAATAGCTCTGATAGAATCACACCTTGAGTTTCCAAGTCATGCTGTTGGTGCTTAAGTGGCACATGGATGACTACAGTTCCCTCCATTCAAAGGCACATGTGCAATACTATTTCTCAAAATTTGCTTTTATTTACATGTTTGAGTCAATTACATGCGTGTTTTTTTAAACAAGAGTGATTAGCAAAATGCATTAAAATTTTAAAATAGCAATTAAATATACAAAAATATAGCTTACAAAAATGCAAATGTTTAAAAATATTCTGCTGCAGAATTTTTAGTGTACAAACACGTCTATGAAACCTGAGGCTCAGCATTTCATAAACTTTTTTTTGAGGGAATTACACAATACCTAGTGAGGAAACCCAAGGGCCAAACTACAAGAATACAGTGCCCTCTTTCCTGGCAATGATCTGTCAAAAGACCCAGAGGCAAGTTATCTGCAACAGTAGGAAGACCAGCTGTAACCAGAAGGGACTTCCTAACACTGGCTACACCTGCTTGCTCCTTCCCCGCGGCACTGGTGGGGTCCTGGGAGGGAAGGGAAGATGGAGAGGAATAGTGTGCAGTGGGCCTAAGATGCTGACCCACCAGGCTTGGACTGGTACAGGGAACTGAGAAGAGTTCCCTCTAGCACTAGTCGACTGACACTGGTGGGACCAAAGTTTAGGTACAGGTCCCTGGGGCATGGAGGTGTTCTACCTGACCCTGTCACAGAAGTGAGGACCGGATGGTAAGCCAAAGATGCTGACACTTGGTCAAAAAGGGGAGTACATCTTTGCATCTTGTAACAATTTGGGCTGTATAGCTGAATTGGCAAAGTAAGGTTTGCTGAATAAGCCCCGTTTTTTCTTCTGATATCCCCGCTCAAATGGAAGCACATTCCACAGCACATGGGAATCCCTTATTAATCTTATAAGTTACTAAAGAACCATGACCCAAAATTTTCCAGTTATCAACTGGATATTTAGGCATGAATTTGGACACATCCATCTTAAGAACTCTGTAACAACTACAGGAAAAGACACACCCAGGGCCAGAGATTCTACAAATGCCTGAAGGGTGGAGTTGATATACATTTTTTTCTCAAGTTTTGGGATACGGGGCGGGTTCCAATTTTAATCCAGGGGAGGATCTGGGCTGCTGCTCTAGGGGGCAGGTACACCAGGAGGTGGGTGTGGACTGAGAGGCACTGGGCAGCTGCTGGGAAGCAAGGCACAAGTCTGTGCTGCTACCCCTAGGGCTGCCTGGAGGAAGCAGCTCTTTTATCACTGGGGACAAAAATGAACTTAAAAACAAGATTTGTGAGGTAATTTCTATTGTCAGATGGAAAACGATGGGTAAGGAGAAAGTTCTGTAGGAAGCATTTTCTTTTTGAGATGGAGTCTTGCTTTGTTGCCCAGCCTGGAGTGCAGTGGCATGATCTCAGCTCACTACAACCTCTACTTCCCGGGTTTAAGCAATTCTCCTGTCTCAGCCTCCCGAGTGGCTGGGATCATGGGCATGTGTCATCATGCCTGGCTAATGTTTGTATTTTTAGTAGAGACAGGTTTTCACCATACTGGTCAGGCTGGTCTCAAACTCCTGACCTTAGATTATCCACTCACCTTGGCCTCCCAAAGTGTTGGGATTACAGGCATGAGCCACCATGCCTAGCCAGAAGTACTTTCTTTTTAAAGTGTGTGCAAACAGTAGGAAGGCCAGCCTGGGCAACATAGTGAGACCTGTCTCTATGAAAATTAGCCAGGGGTGCTGGTGTGCACCTGTAGAGTCAGCTACAGACTGAGGCAGGAGGCTCACTTGAACCCAGGAAGTTGAGGCTGCTGTGAGCTACAATGGTGTCACGGCACTCCAGCCTGGGTGACGAGACCCTGTCTCAACAACAATAAAAAGGAGGGAAAGGGAACAGCTCCATGAACTGACATTCAGGCATATCCACAGTTAACTATGACTCACTGTGTGCTTGCTCAGTAGCTAAGATGTCTGCCCCACAAGATAGAAGCCTTCAGTTGCTGCTGCTCAAACTGCATCAAAAACACAAGAGCTTGCCTAACAGACCATGACAGTTATGGCCAGACATCACCATTGGTCCTCACCTGGAACTGGCCAAGGTCGGGGAGGGCCCAGCAGCTGTCCAGGAACCTGCAGAGGCTGTTCAGAGCTGGGAGACGCCTGTGACACTGCTACTGGCTACAGAGCCTGATCTTAAGGTCCTGTCACAGATAGAAAGTCAATAAAAAATCTGGTTGTGCTCTTGGATTAGCTAGGCATTTGGGGTAAGGGAAGGGAGGGACTGCCTTTGTAGAGAAAACTAAAATTCCAGGCTGGGTGCGGTGGCTCATGCCTGTAATCCCAGCACTTTGCGGGGCTGAGTTGGGCAGATCACCAGAATTCAAGAGTTTGAGACCAGCCTGGTCATCATGTCAAAACCCGTCTCTACTAAACATACAAATATTAGCCAGGCGGACGCGCCTGTAATCCCACCTACTTGGGAGGCTGAGGCAGGAGAATCACTTAAACCTTGGAGGTGGAGGTTGCAGTGAGCCGTGATGGCACCACTGCACTCCAGCCTGGGCAACAGAGCGAGACTCCATCTCAAAACAAAACAAAGAAAAAACTAAAATTTCAGTGCATTGCAATCAAATGAAAATATGTCTTACTCAACAGAAATGTAATTGCAAAAACATCCCCCAATTCTGGGTTCACGTTTTATATTCTGATTTCTGGGATGGCTCTTCCCACATTAGTAGGATTGTTCCTTGAATACACTTGTATCATGAGAAGAGGAGAAAAATTATACCCACACATACACATACACGTGTGTACATGCAAATGATCTCTGGAAGGATACCCAAGGAACAAACTAAGAGGAGGTACTCCTGGAGTGTGCAGCAGAGCTTTCTGGGCATCAGGAACTCAAGGAAGGCTTTTAACTACTTTATGATTTGTGATATATAAAAATGAAAATTAGGCCGGGCGCAGTGGCTCACACCTGTAATCCCAGCACTTTGGGAGGCCGAGGCGGGTGGATCATGAGGTCAAGAGATTGAGACCATCCTGGTCAACATGGTGAAACCCCGTCTCTACTAAAAATACAAAAAAACATTAGCTGGGCATGGTGGCGCGTGCCTGTAATCCCAGCTACTCAGGAGGCTGAGGCAGGAGAATTGCCTGAACCCAGGAGGCGGAGGTTGCGGTAAGCCGAGATCGCGCCATTGCACTCCAGCCTGGGTAGCAAGAGTGAAACTCCGTCCCAAAAAAAAAAAAAAAGAAAAAGAAAAAAGAAAATTAGCCAGTTGTGTTGGTGTGCACCTGGAGACCCACTGAGGCGGGAGGATCACTTGAGCCCAGGAAGTTGAGGCTGCAGTGATCTACAATGGTGCCACTGCACTCCAGCCTGGATGACAACCAGACCGTGTCTCAACAACAAGAAGTTGAGAGGGAAAGGGAGCAACTCCATGCGAATGGACCACCTATTCAAAACATTAAGAAAGGAATACTCAGCACTGAACAAGTCAGAGTTCACTGTGGGCAAAGGCAGATTGAGATGACCAAGGAGGAAAGGGGCCAGGTGAACCTGGGACCCAGGGAAACCCCCTACAGCTCAGGAGGCTCTTGGGCTGAAGTTCTATTCCTATCATGATGGCAGAGGAGCCCATGTAACCCAGATGATGTTATGTGGCATCAGCAGCCTCCATGATACCAGGCCTGCTGCTCACCAACCAGTCTCTGGGTACCAGTAAATCCTCACAAGAGGTGGCAGTGATGTTATTACAATTCCTGGGTGGTAGATAAGGAAAGAGACTAAGAGGCTAACCTGCAGAAAGGCCTATGGCTAGTGAGTGGCAAGGGGCGATTCCATCACTCTCAGCGCACTGCCTAGAGCTCTGGGGATACCGTCCTGGATGTATTTCGTAACTCCCAAGAAGCCTCTCAGAAAAATAATTCCTAGTTGTTCAAAGTAGCTTAAAGCGGTATTAGGCCATGGAGATGACATGATTTTGAAGTGGGGTTGTGAAAAAGGACAAGGCCTGAGGCCATTCCTCTGATGGACCCAAGGGGCTTGGCACTGGGGAAAAGGATCTTCAAGAACAGAGTATCTGGCAATGGTGGGAGGTCCCTGGTAATCCTCAGCTCACACCTTCCCAGGGGCCACCTGCCCCTATTTGGCCATTTCTGTCCTACCTTCCCCGGATAGGCAAGCACAAACTCCAAGGACCTCATCTGTTAGGGACAGGCCTAACCAAATCACTCTTGGCAAAAAAAAGCAGCAGATGTCAACTTCTAGTGTCTGATGCCAACCCAACCAGGAATCAAATCAGGATGGTTTTGTTCCGTTTCTGAAGACAGCTGAGTTGAGCTGTCCTGCTAGCAACTACTAATGATTCAGCCACCAGTGGAATCCAGTTGGGGCTGAGTTATGCTCCACTAACCCACAGCAGATTAGCAACATTCTATCTTTGAGCTGCTTAACACACACACAAAGTATACCAGCCAGTGGTCCAAGAGCAGACCAGAATCCCCATGCATCTCAACAGTTAACAAGTCCCAGCAATTCCTGGAGAAAGATGCAGAAAGGGGTTCAAGTCTCAGCCAAGAGAGTATAAAGGGATCCCTAACACATTCTTTAAAAAATGGATTGTCTCTCAAACAAAAACCCTGTGATTTTAATCAGAATTAAAGGAGGATGTAAATTAAAAGGCCTTCTATTTGCATGTACAGCAATGCAGATGCACAGGAACCTGGTGGAGGACCCCAGATGCAGGGAGCAGATATTTGGGTTGTGTTGATAGGAGTTGCAGGAACTACTGCTAGTGACACTAAGCTTGCTGCAGAAGGACGTCGCACCAAGAAAAGGAGATGACTATGAGCAGAAAAAACTCTCACTGTTCCAGCTTCCAGCCCAATTCTAGCAGAAGGAATGCATTTTAAAATCACTCCACATTCACATGTGCTGAGAAGGTGGTTAGTGGTCCCTCATCTGGGCAAAGCAGACCCAAGCTGGTGCCGAGTGCAGAGTGCAGAGCATTCTTGTGCTTTCCTCTCATGGCTGGAACTATCTGGGCTGTGTGCCCTGGTCCAGTGCTACGTATCAACCCCCTCAACATGCCTGTGGCTCTGACACAGGGAGATGAATTAATTTTTGTTTGTTCAAATACACGGACTTGGTGAGGCTGTCTTTTGTTAGTACTGATTCACAGGGACAGAAAAAGGCTGCAACTGAAAGACTAGAATCCTACAAAAGCTGTGAGCAGCAATAATTTGCAGTATTGATCATAGGAAGTTCCTCTTTTGAGAGGAAAAACATTCTCTTTCCTATTAGAGCCCCATAACAGAGAGGTGACATCTGTTCCATGGCCATTCCCTGGAAAATGGTGGCTGCTGGCCATTACTGACGCTAGTCCAGAAGCAAGCCTCCTTCTGACACTGGTCACCAAAAACAGTTCACTATAAACTGCGTGTTTTGCAGCATTAACTCTATCGTGCTATAAACAGAGAATGCAAAAAGATGGTGAAAGCAGGAGTGCACAGATAGTTCTTTCCATGGGTGCCAGACAGGCTAAGGCTTTCATATAAAAATATTCCTCACTTTCCTTGTCCTGTTTAGGAAGCAGTCCAGTTTGGCATACCACAAATAGGTCACACATAGGAAATGGCCTATTTTGGCCAACTGGATTTGTAGTTTTCCAAACTGGATTCTGTCCAGCACTTTTCTAGACTAATGGAAAATTTCCCCCCATCTGACCCCAGCCACCTGAGCCAAGGACAGGTTCCCTCTCATAAGAGGATAGAGGTTGGATTCCAGAAAAAAAAATCCTGGAGTCATGCCATGAGCAGAGTAGCAAAGCTTCCTCCATCCATTCTCTGTCACACAGACTGTGTGAAAAACCTCCCCCACTCACATCTGTGGGATGGAGAGGAGCAAAGCAGTTGAGGAGGAATTGAGGCAGGTGCTCCTAAGATGGAGGGAGGCAGACAGCAGGGCTGTGGAAAAGAATTTTCCATCTGACCTACTGCTGCTTTCCATAGCTAATTTATACAATATTCACAAATCCTAATGGACTGAGTCATTTCTAGAAAAGTTGGACAGAAAGAGCCAAGAGCAGCATGCGTTTCTCTCCTATAAATACACTTTCAGTTTCGCAAGTCCAAATACTGAGGCACACACCAACGGTGGACAGCCCTGCAGGAGCTTCCTGAAACTATTTACAATTCCGAGTGGATCACCGGCTTCAGAATTACACAGGGATCTTATTTGGGATAAAGTGTTAAAAACTGAATGACAGGCATTTGTTTTTTCTGAAGTGGAAAGAGAGAGAGGGCAAGAGAGGGAAGAGATGGAAGGAGGAGGGGGAGAGGCCAAGCGGTTGGTATCCCCTTTGTCCAGCTGGGCCAGGAGTATGGGCCATTCTCAAAAAGCCGCTGCTCTTTGGAGCCACTTGAGGGGTTCACAGTGGCTCCCTCCTGAGGCAGTGGGCCCACAGCAGCTGCAATGAAACCACACTGCACATGTGGGGATGTGGGCAACCGGCTGGATCACTCAAGGACAGTGTGGGCTCAGGGTCCATGCCCTGCTCTCGATGAGCCTCACTGGTGCATAGAAAGGGGAATGCTAAGAGGAAATGGCTTCTGACCAGGCCTTTCCAAGTGTATCTAATGTTTTCAGCTCAGATGATCTGACAGCAGGTGTTGTGATCTTGAGGGGGAAATGGGTGGCGAGGGACACTGCTACTCAAGGCCCTTGGGTTCCAAGATGGTCTTACCAAAGGAATATAAATGGGCCTTGTGGGCACTGCCTCACCAACCACTTGTGGCTGGTTATGCTGGTTTTACTTGGCTCAATGGCTGCAGGAGGGTTTGCTGCTACAAAGGCCTGCACAGCCTGCACAGAAACCCATCCATCTGAAGGTGGGGGTGTGGCTTTAACGACCTGCTCTTAGTTCTCTTCTTTACCCTCCTGCTTGACACAGAGATGAGGCTCCAGGAGAGAGAGTGTAATGTAGTAGGAGCCTCTCACGAAGTTTCTTGAGGCAAACCCGCAGGCTCATCCACTCCTCTTCTCTTGGCAGGGGGTAGTGTCAAAGTGCTTTGGTTGTCATAAGACCCAGACACCTAGGTTCCCAGCTTGGCTGGCCCAAGAGTTCTTCATGAAGCAAAAGAAGTGGCAGCTGGTGTCCTCGATAGAGAGCAGCCAATACAGACACCACTTGTGTTCTTCCTGGCTCCACACAGATGTTGTGTCCAGCAACAGTCTGATCCTTGTGGTAAGCTATACAATGTTCTCTGCCCCGGGGAGGGGCCCCTGAGGGGGTCCACGGTCCTGCTTACTGTGCAACTGGGCCAGCTGTAGAACTGGCATGTTGCACAGGGGACACACTTTACGAACCTCCAGCCATTTAATAAGGCACCTGCAGAAGGAGACACCACAGGGGGAAAACATCAGTCCTATGCTCATGGCACAGCTGTTGTGCTGAAGAGTGAACTTATCTGTCACCCAGACAAGATCTGCTGTATGGTCCAAGGAGCTCCCCAACTAGGTAGTGAACAATGTCACCCCTTGGAGAGAAGGAAGAGACAGACGGAAGGAGGGGGAAGAGGTCAAGGAGTCAGCAATCCACTCCTCCTTCTCCAGAGCCTCCCATCTTCTGCGTGTGAAGCCACACATCACATGTGATTCCCTCAGTTGCCCATGACTTCTTAAAGAACAAAGTACACTGAGGAGGGAGGTGGCAAGTAGGAAAAATAAAATTTTCTTTTTTTTTTTTTTTGAGACGGAGTTTCGCTCTTGTTACCCAGGCTGGAGTGCAATGGCGCGATCTCGGCTCACCGCAGCCTCCGCCTCCTGGGCTCAGGCAATTCTCCTGCCTCAACCTCCTGAGTAGCTGGGATTACAGGCATGTGCCACCATGCCCAGCTAATTTTTCGTATTTTTAGTAGAGACGGGGTTTCACCATGTTGACCAGGATGGTCTCGATCTCTTGACCTCGTGATCCACCTGCCTCGGCCTCCCAAAGTGCTGGGATTACAGGCT